TCAAAATCAGAACCAATCATCATAAATATCAGTTCTTCCAAGTGATTTACTTCAACTGACGTCCAAAACGCCCATAAAAACCAATTCAAAAATCTCTCCATCACAAAATCGCTGCAACGTCAATGGCTTGCAGCTCGATCGCCGTGGACGGAAGAGCACTTCCGATATCTCTATACTCTCCTCCGAAACGCCAGCGTCCGCCGGACTCATCGGTTTCCAGAAACTCCGGTTCGAATTTCAACTTCAGACTTCACTTCAGAGTTAGGGTTCAGTTCCTCTCTGGTTCGAGTGTTCATGTTCTTCTGAATGGTTCACGTGGGAGAAATCAGTTATGGAAGGTCAGGTCGGATGTAAAATCGGAATCGTATGAAATATCGAAGTCAGCGCCTGAATCGTTTAAGTTCAAGGAGAAATTGGGCGTTGACGTTATATCGAAGGATGATGATGGAGATGAATTTGTTGACAATGCAGTTCCGTGGTGGGAAGAGTTCCCGAAACGTTGGACTATTGTTATTCTATGCTTTTCTGCTTTCCTTCTTTGCAACATGGATAGAGTAAGCTCATCTCACTACTATTTTGCTAAGTTTTATGGAATCTATACGAGTATCTTAAGCAAACGTGACTTGATTGATCATGACATCTCTTCAAATGAAATCTGTTGACACTTGAAAGAACCTTGTTTTAACACCGTTTTTAGTTGAGATTTATTGGAATTGATTGATTAGCTTGTGTGTTTACTGAATTAACTACTTTTTGAACTCGACTTGTTGTATCTATTGAGAAATTCACGAATCAGATGTACAACCATCGTGATGGAACCCCTCGATTCCTTATGTAACCCCAATTTTCAACTGATGATAAAGGCCATGTTTGAAGAATCAGAATGTGTAATATTGGTATCTGAGTTCAATTTTTCTACATGGCAGGTGAATATGAGCATTGCTATACTACCAATGTCGTCAGAGTACCATTGGAATTCTACAACTGTTGGTTTGATACAATCATCCTTCTTCTGGGGCTACCTTCTCACTCAGGTTTTCACAATTTCTTCATCTAATTCAGTTCTTCTTCTTCACATCATTGTTGGTGCTAGATTAATCAAAAGAACAAATTCATATGTGATTCAGTTTTGAATTAATGGTAATTAAGCTTAGAATTAGATTGCAGGAGGCATTTGGGCAGACACTGTAGGTGGGAAACGTGTATTGGCTTTTGGTGTCATCTGGTGGTCTGTAGCTACAGTTCTTACTCCAGTTGCTGCAAAGTTAGGATTACCTTTCTTGCTCATAGTCCGTGCTTTCATGGGCATAGGCGAGGTTCTTTTTCTTCTTCCAACATCTCCATTGATCTTTCTTTCTTTTTTTATAAAGATAAACTTGTAGCTTATATATATACAACTTTCTCCCTCTCTTCTTCCAGGGTGTGGCTATGCCTGCCATGAACAATCTTCTATCAAAATGGGTTCCTGTTGCAGAAAGAAGCAGATCATTAGCTCTTGTTTACAGTGGAATGTACCTTGGATCTGTCACAGGACTTGCCTTTTCACCATTTTTAATACATTCATATGGATGGCCTTCTGTCTTTTTCTCTTTTGGTTCTCTAGGCACAGTGTGGACTGCATTATGGTTAAACAAGGTATCTTTTCATAATTCCATCCCATTTCTGATATTTCTTTTTCTATTTTTTTTTACAAATATGGTAAAATTTTATTAGGCATACAGTTCACCTCTTGAAGACCCTGAACTTCGCCCTGAAGAGAAGAAACTTATCTTTCACAATAGAGTTATTGAGGAACCTGTTAAAACCATTCCTTGGAGGGCAATCTTGTCAAAACCACCTGTATGGGCTTTAATCACGTGTCATTTTTGTCACAACTGGGGGACCTTTATACTCCTCACATGGATGCCTACCTATTATAACCAGGTTAATTAGTCTTTTAATTCATATGTTTTAACTTTAATCAAAGAAATATTGACTTAAATGTATTTTTTACAGGTTCTAGGGTTTAATCTAACAGAATCAGGGCTATTTTGTGTATTACCATGGCTTACAATGGCTTTCTCAGCCAATCTTGGAGGCTGGATAGCTGACACACTTGTCAGCAAAGGGATGTCTGTAACCACAGTTCGAAAGGTAATATTCAAGATTTAATATTTTATTTGATTATTAGTTTTTTATTTCTTATATTTTTTTTTATTAAAAAATCAGGTAATGCAATCAATTGGATTTCTTGGACCTGCATTTTTCTTATCTCAATTAAGCCATGTTAACTCTCCTGCAATGGCTGTCTTATGCATGGCATGTAGTCAGGTTTGTGTTTAATTAATTATTTGAAATAAATAAATATTTTTCTTGAAAATCTTGTAACACTTTAATAACATCTTGAATTATGAAAAACAGGGTTCTGATGCATTTTCACAGTCGGGTTTATATTCAAATCATCAAGATATTGCCCCTCGTTATTCCGTGAGCATCTATCTCCTTTCTTAAATACTTATAAATCGACTAAAACAATGATTAAACTTTTTTTTTTTTTTTTTTTTTTAATAATTTTTATGATTTTGGTATTTAACAGGGGGTGTTACTTGGTTTATCGAATACTGCTGGAGTTTTGGCTGGTGTCTTTGGTACTGCAGCAACCGGTTACATCTTGCAACATGGTAATTATTTATTTATTTATTTTTTTGTGTTTATTATAACAAAGTGAAAGTAAAGAGAAACTTTACATTTTTGTGAACACGTGTAAACAGGCTCTTGGGATGATGTGTTTGAGGTGGCAATTGGGCTATATTTGGTTGGAACAGTGATATGGAATCTTTTTTCAACTGGTGAAAAAATAATCGACTAAAAGTTACATATATTAATATATATAGTCTGATTTATCACCCGTGATGATTGAAAATGCGAACTAAAATCCACAAATTGGTGCAACGATTTCTCGAAGCTCCATAGAAACATATTATGCTTCAGAAGCAACAAATCAAATATGACTTTTTGGCACACAGAAATGGTTTGATGAGAAAGAAAACATAACAGGGAGATTATGACGACTTTGTAAAAAAGCCATTTCACTGGTGTATATAGGAAAGATTAGACACACATTTTGATAGAATCTGTATATTTTGTTTTTATACCATTATGTGACACAAATATTTTTATATTTGGACATTTATGAAATGTAATGCCTTTTTTTATGTAGTCCAATTATTTTCCTAATGCCTAGTGTCACACTCACCGACTCACTTAACCCATTGATAATAATATAATACTTTGAATGTTATCTACTATTTTGATTTGATTCCCAATTTCCCATATTGAACCTTGGCTAATCCATCGTAGCCTACAATAAATAATAAATAATAAATTATGATGATGTGTCACGTGGGTTGGTTTTGTTATATAATAATAATAATAATAATAATAATAATAATAATAATAATTGTAATAATAATGGTCAGAGTTTATATAGCCGGTGCATAGACAGCTAAATATGTTTTGACCCTACTTTGTACGGACCACCAAAATCACTCTTTGTTTCATTCAATGCCTCAACTATATTTTATCCAGAGCATTACAACATCCAACTACTAACCCCACAACAGAACATAATCAAACATAAACAAAAACAAAAACATCAGGTTAAAAATTCAAATTGAAGATCGAATCATATAATATTAATAATGAACAACTCCTCAACAAGAAACAGAATTAGACATGGTTGATGAAGTAGAAGAAGAAGAGTTTATGAAGTCAATGCAATCCTTAATGGCTTCTGCTCTTTCAGAATCCAATGGAGAGAGTGAAAGTCGTTTTGGAGTACCCGATGATGATATCTTAGTGGAACCTCGTTTTCGAGGAGCAACAAAACAAAGAACAGCCACCATCCAATTACCCACGTTTTTAAGGTATCTCACAGGCAATAAAAATCTACAACTCGCTGAAATCTTTGTTGTTCTTCTACCATCAACCCTTTTACTTGAGTTACATTTGCTCAACATGGTTAGCTCTCTTGTTAACTTTGTGCGTGTATTTACACTCTTGGTGTGTGTGTGTGTGTGTGTGAGAGAGAGAGAGAGAGAGAGAGAGAGAGAGAGAGAGGATCAAGTTCAGTATATGCATGCAATGCCAATGTGTGTGTATATATAGTGGTAGGAGGAGAACTAAATCACTAATGCATTAAAGAAGTGGACCTACCAGTAGGACATAGAAATTAAGGTTTACAGAGAACCACCTAAAATTTTCTTCTTATGTACATTGCAAAAGTGCATATAGTGGTCAGATAAAGTGCCTTTTAAAATTTGGGAAGAAAACTACTCTCTTGAAACCACTAATCAAGTAAAATACCTAAATTACCCCTCCACTCTCCACTAATAAGATGCTCATAAATTCCTGAGTTTCCCATATTACCTGTATTTAAATTATGTGGCAGAAGTCGATGCATAGCAGTACAATGTTCTATCAAGAAAAAAAGTTGAAAATTCAATGTTGTAATTTGGTAGTTTTTCAAAGAACAACGCCTTAAGAAAAAAAGACTGAAAACACAATGTTGCAATAAACAAAATGACAAAAAAAAAAAAAAAAAAAAACATTATTTTTTGGACAGTTTTGTGGTTACCCTTTTTTCGAATCGAACCATAAAAGTTTAAGGCATTTTCCATAATAACCATTTTGACATACTATATCAAGTTTCAACTGTAATTTTGTTATATTGGGTTTCACCAGTAATTCTCAAAATTAACCATTTCATCTAAAATGGTTAATTTGGAAAATTGTCAAATGCTTTTAAGAATGCAAAGAATCATCTAAAATTTTCTTACTTCCATTTCATCTTATTACAGTACTATACTTTGGCAAATCTACAAAATTATAGCAATATCATCCAAATACAACACGCTTTTCATTGCTACAATTGAATAAAACTTTTAAATTACAATGAAAAAAGTTAAAAGCAAAATGTTGTAATGGGCCAAAAATGATCCAAAATCTATTGTAGCTAATTACTAGTCATCATCTTTAACAAGAAGTAGCTCAGTACCACCATCAATGGCAGCATCCAAGAAATCCCTTAATTCTTCAGTGCTTCCAAATGAACAAGGAGATGTAAAATCACTATCTAAGTTATACCAAATCCCATTAATCCTTCTCAAAGAAACCCAATGTCTACTTCTCCAAAGACCACCATACTTTCTTACAGGAACATTTAGCACAATCCCCATTAATTTACCTTCAGGTTGATCAAGGTTAATGGAAGAAGCTCTATTACGCCTATCATGCCAAACAACTTTCTTCCCTTTTCTTTCAACTGCAGTAATTAACACGTTTATATCGTAATTACCTGTTAGTGAATTATGATGCGGCTTGAAGATAACTGAGAAAGGCATCCGGTTTCCTTCATATGGATCTTCTTTAACAAGTTTTTCAGCTATATCATCCAAATCTTTTCTTGTAAACGCATCCTTCTCCTGAATCGCATCAGAAAGGAAGAATTTGTTAATCAATTTGCCCAGAATCCCAAGAGATGGAACCAAGTACAAAACGAAACACTGTAATTGATCAAAACTAATGATTTCTTATCTAATATTCATGATACATCTGAAATCATAAAATTACGAGAAATCGATGCCTGATTTTGGAACGTACGGGGTTATTAATCAGTAAAATCAACTAAATTTTCAAAAACTCGTTATTCCAAACAGTATGACCTGATTTGTTGTAAACAAAACAAAAATATGCCCAATTGACGACATATCAACGACAGAAAATTTATCAATTCTATAGAAATTGAATAGAAATCAGATAGGAAAAAAAAAACCTGGAAGAGATTGTTGAGAGAGTGTAAGAGGCAAAACTGTAACTTCTGTTTTTCATGATATATTATCTGCTTCTGTTCGTCTCCCATAAATTCTGCTGCAACTGGTTCGAAATTTAGGGTTTTACAACTAGTGTTTCGAACTTTCGATCGAAAGAACGACGACAACGTGAAAAGTAGACAGGATAACCAATTAATTGCACACGGAGGTCTAAAGATTACGTTAATCCTCAAAAGTCAAAAATCTGATGAGTAACTTACAAAACTAGTCCCTTGACTATATGTCTTTGGATAAATCAAGTCATGTATTTTTTAGTTTTGCATTCTTCATCCAACAAACCCATTTTGATCATCGTATTTGGTCCAACTTAAGAGATCCTAAAATAAAACCATCAAAAAGGATATATACATTGTACATGACATTTAATTGAGATCAAAACCCAAAACTAGTGATTAAGTTGATGAAAAACTACACCGAAAACAAAAGTTGTAACATCCTATACAAACCTTAAACTTTTTAATCAATAAGGTCATAAACTTTAAACCACAAACCATTGACACCGAAGATAATATGTGTCATCTATCTCGATGCAATCTAAAATGCAAATCATATTCTAGATTACATAGGAAGTCACGTTTTATAATCAACTATGTGTTCTATAAAAGGTTGTTAATTAAATTTTTGAATCATGTTTATTAAAAGCTTAGGACTTAACCCCTGTCTGTATCATCACTTAAGCCTATCACTTACAAAAAGCGCCCAACCTATCATTCAACCATTAAGTCATTTTGTTTGTATTAAGCAATTCATCCAATGACTCAACTTCATTGACAAATGTGCACATATAAAACAAATATACAATTATAAATTACAAGAAACAAAATTACAAGTATAAATTAACTAACCCACTCCTATATCTAAGCTATAAAACAAATTTACCCTAAAATTTCCTCATCAACCTCTTCCTTCAAAACTCTTAATAGTATCACTTTCTAAACCATGTGATTCACATGGTTCTTAGCCTTCAGTTGGTTGCCTCTATAACTTCTCAAACGTACACCGTTCCTATACCATGTACCACACGTAACTACAGTTAGTCAGCTGTGTACTGTGTTTGATATGCATTGGACTGAAACACAGTCAGGGACTCACTCTCAATCTCTCGTGTGTGCTAAAGACAAAAAATACTCTCCTAAAGATGTGGATGTAGGCGAACCCTAAAAAGTTTGTCCAATCCAGTCCAGTCCAGTCCAGTGTTACAAATCCAGAACTAAGTCACTAACCTCTATGTTTGCATAACTATCGGTTTTCTCGTTTGAATCATGATCTGTTCTTGAAAAATCGGATTCTACTGAACTTTGGTCACTAAAATCATCTACATCGCTCAATCTTACATCATTTAAATCCATATCAAACGAGTTAACTGAGTCAACCAGGTTTTCATTTAGAGATGTGGATGTAGGCGAACCAACATCTGAAACCTCCACCTGCAGATCAGAAGCAATGGAATTCATTGATGCGTAATGAATTTTTTTATTTCCCCCAAAAAAGAAACAATCGGTTTTTGACTTGTCAAACAGTGAAGATGGACCACAGTCGAATGTTTCTGCATGTCTATGAAAACTCTTTCCTTGTGAAAGTGAAAGTGAAACGCTTCTCATTCGTGACATACTTAAAGAATGCAAGATTGCTTCTTTGTTTGGTCTCATCATTCGTTTTTCATCTTCACTACATGAAGATGATGATGATGAAGTTGATGAGTCATCAATGGAGATTTTTTCATGTTCAATTTCCTTTTCTTTTGTGTTTTTTGAGATTCTGTTTGACTCATCGGGAATGTCAAACACTTTTTCAGCTGCTTTTGAATCATCTTGTTGAGGTTGTTTCTTGTCAGCTTCCTTGTTTTCTAGAAAACAAAACTCATCATGATGAGTAACATTCTGCTTTTAATTTTTTTAGAATTTTTTTTTAGAGAGGATTCACCTTCTTTTGCATTGTTATCAATGGTGGAATGATTAGGGTTTGAAGCATCATCGCGTTTATCCTGTTTGTTGTCATCTTTCTTGTTTTCTTGAAAAAAGAAATATATTGTCAATTTGAGGGTCTTTCATGATAAATAATCAGATGGGGTAAATGCAAGAAATAGCAATGCACTTTCAGATATTTGTGTATATGAAACAAATAAATGAAAGTATGTTGCTATTTCTTGCATTTAACCCTAATCAGAATGCTAGAACAAGAAGTGAAGAATTGTACCTACCAACTGTTGAAGTGACCAGTTTCCCAGAGGGTAACTGTTTGATGGAAAAATCAGTCTGAAAAGATGTTTTGTATTTATAATTTGTGAATTTTGGAGGTGCAAAACTGCCTAATCTAGAAGGCCCATGTCTTGAATCTTTATGATGAGTAGCTCTGAACTCAACTTCAAATGTATCTCCAGTGAGAATCGGCTTTTCTTCATGGGGATCATAAGGAAGATCAAAAGGGTTGCTTTTCACCATGTAAGATGGAGCTGAAACAGGAGAAGCTGGATTATCTGAAAGAAATGGATTCTTTTTAGGGATATTGAGAGAAGAAAGTTGACCACAGCTTGTATTTCCTATTCCAGTTCTTCTAACTTGAAAGCTTGATAGCTTTTTTGATCTTCTTCTTTCCATTAGACTCTCTAATCTTTTGCTTCTTTCATCCTCTGAAATTCCAAGATCCATTAGACTCTTTTCAGCCTCATCAAGCCATCTAACAGTTTTGATTCGATGCTCATCTTGTTTCTCTTTCTCTTTCTCTTCATCAACATCCAAACTTTCTTTCGTTTTATCTTTATCGTTATTATCAAAATTAGATTTTCTGTACTCTTCATCGAACTTGTTATGATGCATCTCTTTTGGGTTCTTATCAACCAAATTGTTTGTTGAGGAAACAACGTCTTTGTTGTCCTTGGCACTCATATTGTTGTAAAGTTTGTTACTTGTCTCTTTGGAATTTTGTCGAACACTTGGTGGATCCTGCATGAAACTATTTTTGTTATGTTGTTTGCGAACATGAACACGATGCAATGACTTAAATCTCCTACGAGACTGCAATTCCTTCCATCTTTTACTTTTTGCTCCTAAGCTTTTAACTTTTGGACGACGTTCCATACGTATAAATACTCTACGAACAAGAAATGCAAATCCAACTACAGGGGAGGAATATACTACGAAGTCTACGATGATGAAAACTGAAGGAAAAAACTTATATAATAAAACGCATGCGAAAAACATAAGACAATAATGAAATGTGTATTTTTTAACACAGCATGCACAATTTTCACCCAAATTTTTGACGGTTTTGATCACAAAAATTTGGATCTCATTCGCGCCCATACTAATTACATATGTATTTATTCAAATTTCGTTTCTTCCTACGTCCGATATCCAGCAGAATAAAATCTATAAACCGATTCGGAGCACACAAACGAACATAATTAATGAAAGAATCGAAATTTTGATATAAAACCCATTGACGGAATCTAAAATAAACAAAAATGCATTGATGTTGGAGATGCATATCATGTATGAATTTCTTACTTTACCTAGAATCGGTTCTTGAAAGAATTGTCTGATTGAAAACTGCTGGAAATTTTCATTTTGGGATTGCTAATGTGGGGCACGTTTTCTTTGGTTGTGAGCTTTGTTGGATCCTCAAATTTAGGAGTCCCGAAGTTTCGTCCCCCTCGTTGTCAAACACACAAATTTACACGTAATAACTTGGATATCTCCTTCTTCCATCTTCGTCTTCAATCCTTGCAAATGCCATAGTTTTATTACATCCATAATCGAAGATCGGATACCCATGATTAGGGATCAGGGAGAAGGGTCACTCACCAATTTTTTATTTTTTCTTTTTAATCCTAAATTTTTTAATAAAAAAAGTTATATTTTTTTATTTGATAATAGGGAATTTTTTCTTAATTTTTTTGGAAAAATCTTTTTTTTTTTTTTTGAAAAAACCCAACATTTGACAAACTCATGTTTTTCCGATTATAAACATTTTCAATATCAAAAATGATTTGATCGATAATAATCGTATTAAATTTTTTAAGGATTAATTTTTTCCATTATAGTCAAATTAGTCATAATATAATAAAAAATTCGTTAAACATTATATTATTATAACAGACGTACAATTAATAAACATAAGATTGTGTAGACTATAGACTAAATATTTTGAATTTGCTAATTTAAGTATTGAATTTTATCCTAAACTCTCAATTTCAGATTATTTCAAAAGAAATACAATTGTTATATATTAGATTATAACATCTTTCATAACTAATATATGTTTATCATATTCATTCTAAAATGTTAATCATCACATATCACAATAAACAGTCCTATTGAGTATAAATTGGTTGCATCAGTAAAATCAATGAACTAAGGATTTGAGACAACTAATTTTTCTATAACAATTTTTTTATATCAAACATATGTTTTAAATAACCCTAATTTTATAACAAAATTCTTTAAGTATAATTATATATTGTCATAAATAGTTGAAGATACATAATGTAGATCTTATGAAATAAATAGATTGTTAACAAAAACAGTTACATGGTGGTATCATTCAAGGCCATTGGAAAGCATGTTTTTTTTTCTTTTTTGAGTAATCAATATACTTTTATATTTTACCCTTAAATATAGTCTAGTTTTAAATATTTATTATTTTTCTATTAATTAATTATTTCTATTAAATATTTAAAAACATTTCATTTATGAAATATAAACTTTATAACAATTTTAACATGTTTAATGTTCTTTTATTTCCATAATTATAATGTAATAACTTTTTCTTATTTTATATATATAATAAAAAAACTGGTTTTGTTTATATTTTGTATTAAAATATAATGTGTGTTTAAAAATTACTAATGAAACCAGGCAGGGGCGGACGCAGGATTTCATAGTAGAGGTTGCACGGGAAAATTGAGGGTTGCACGATAATAGAAAAATATAAATTTTAAAAATTTTTCGAAATTTTTTCCACTACGGCCGGAAAAATGAGGGGTTGCCGATGCCACCGGTGACCCCCCTAAATCCGCCCCTGAAACCAGGTAGCTTTTATATAATATTTTAGATAAATAAATATAAATCAGTTAAACTTGTAAAATAAATTAAATTAAAAACTATCGAAAATGATTAGCCTTTCAAAAGGTCATTTAGTTATAAATTAAAATTAATAAAATAATTATATGAAAATAATTTTAAGATATAGTATAAACCGGCATCAATGCTCCAACAATAATTGCTTAGAAATTAGTTTGTTTATCAAGGCAATGCATAGTAAAAGAAACTTACTACCCTCAACTTGAATCCCTTCACAAGTGCTTTAGATCATTAGGTATTGGGGATAGATCAAGCAACTCCATTTCACCACCGTCTTCTTCCACATCATTGTTGGTATACTTGCAACGAGAAAAGGAGAAACGAGCATAGAAGAAGAGAGTATTGATTGTGGTATTTCGTGGTATACACAACATAAGGCCATAATTGTGGCTCTAGGTCATCATTAGGAGACCTTCAGAATGGTATGCACAGTCATCGCCCTCCTCCAACTTCTCAGTATAAAACTCTCATGCTTTGTATACCCCGTTGTCTTACCTTCTCCATTTTCGTGATACAATGCCAAATGGACTTAGTGTTGTTTGTTTTGGAAGTGGTTAAATGTTTTTTTATCTTTTTCCGTGTTTGCGAAAGAAGACGTGCACTTGAGAAACGTCTACCCGCTAAAAGGGAAAAGTGCTCAAAAAAGTACTTTTGTAGAAAAACAAATGAGGTCTAAGGCTACGCGGTGTCGTAAAATTTTCACCAAAGGTATGCTGAGGTGGCTCCTTTACCGCCGGTAAACACCGGGCCGCAACAAGATTTTTACCGCCGGTATAATACCTGCGGTGGGTTTCTACCGGTGGCAAATGTGAAACAAATGATGAGATTTGTCTTTTTCTCTCTACTCTCTTCTTTATCCTTGGTGAATACCATCAACACAACACCTTGGTCATTTTTAGCAAAAATGACAAACATGTCCTATTAGCCTAGGTGGCATACATTACCGCTGGTAAGACACCATTCAGCCTAACGTGGCACCAGTTAAAAATATTAAATCAAATGAGACCTCACATTTTCCTTTCACTTAAAGTCCTAATGTTAATGGCACCAGTTAAAAATGTTAAATCAAATGAGACCTCACATTTTCCTTTCAATTAAAATCATAAGGTAAAAGGTAATTTCAATTGGAAAAAGAAATCGTTAGAAATTTAGAAATAACCTTATTTTTAAAATCAATATATTCGAGTTTATACTTTCAAAACATATATTCCAATACACCGATGTGATAATTTATAAATTGTTTGTTGTTGGAAAAATATGCCCAACTTTGAATAATATGTTTCCCAAAATTACCTTAAATAGTCGAGGACGTTCATTTCACATGCATTGTGCAATTTATCCTTTCTATAAAATATGTTATATGACCAAGTAATATTTATAATCATATTAATTTCACATTTTGAAAATTTACGAAGACAACATTCAGTTAATGATAGCCTACACTTCAAACTTCAAAGATAATGACAATTCTAACAACTCTCCTATATGAAGATCCACAAAATAACCATCAATCTACTGCAAAATCTGTATTTAGTGCATTTTTTTTTTTTTTTTTTTTTTTGTATGATCCAACAAGACACACGATATCATACTATTAATACCATGGTAGAAAAAAGAACCAAAAAACTTTGATGTTTCAATTAAAACAAGTTGTTACTTTACTCTTACACCTTGAACCTTATAGCCTGGTGAAAATATAATAAATCACAAGAAAGATACAACACCAAATTGCATCAAAATCCGCTTCAATCTTATATATTCCCTACAAAAATAAGATTTACAGAGCTGAAACTTAATGCAACTACAGGATAAATGTTGATAAATCAGCTTCAAGCATCGCTTGGTGGCAACACTACCTCCTCTGCCTCAGTCCCTGTTGAAATATATATAAGAAAATGAGAAATGAAAAGGAAGAAACTAATTTTGGTAAATTTATAAAAAACTTAACAAATTAAATCAGGTCAAATTTAAGTCCATTAGATTATAAAAATGGTCATTAAGCCTAGTAACACCTTCAAATTATATACATCACCTATTCTTAATCACTGATAATAAAACAAGATTTACTATACCACAAGTAGGTTGTAAAAATTTATTCTGAATTGAACACATTAACGCATCCAAAACATATTTTTAAAGCCAATAGCAACAACCATGGATTGGAACGATGATTTAGACTCTAAACCAATCAAGAACACTATAATTATGACAATTAGGATGATAGTTTTCATGTTCTATCTGGTTTTCTTATATTTCGACCCACAATCATGAATGTAAACAGAACATTTAGCAGTGAGTAATAAGAATTGATAGTTGATAATGCTACTGTTTTGGATTAATTAACCAACCTTCATCAGCTACTTCTTCGAAATCTTCTTCATCTTCATATTCCTCGTATCCATAAGCATCGTTCAAGTAGTCTAATGCAGCTTTAGTGAAAACCAATTTATCAGCATTCAGAATGTCGAACAAATTTAGTGTTCTGGGCGTCAACATCCTCAGAGTTCCAATGTTCCTACTGGAAAGAGCAACATTGTCTGAAATCTCTGTCATGAAAAACATAGATTTCTCCTTGGGGTCGATTCCCCATCTCTTCAAGGCTTCAAGGAAATCTTTAGTTTTGGGTTTCTGAAATTTATCCCCAAATTCTTCAACCACAATCCCATTCACAGCGGCGCTCGCCAAAGCCGTTGAAATCGCAAGCCGTTTCTCCTTCTTGTTGATCTTCACGGACCAATCACGGGGTTTAGGGCCGAAAACGACTCCTCCGCCGGGACGAAGCGGAGTACGTTGAGACCCACGGCGGGCACGGCCGAGTTTCTTCTGGGGGAAGGGTTTTTTACCACCTCCTCGGACCTCGGCTCTGGTAAGAGTGGAAGCGGTACCACGACGTTTGTTGTTTAGGTCAGTGGTGATACCACGGTGGACAACGGCGCGGGCGGTGTCTGGGTTGGCGGATTTGAGGTTAAGGGTGGTTTCTCCGACCTTGGTGCCGTCGAAGGAGAGTACTGGGAGTGTGGCTAGCTGGGAGCGGACTACGGCGGTGGTGCATTTGGGAAAATGGGGTTTTGGGGGTTTGATGAAAAGAGAGGTGGAGGGGGTTTGATTAGAAGAAAGGGAGAAAATGGAGGATGAAAGGAAGGAGATTGAAGATGGTAGTCTTACAGAAATCGACATTGTTGTGTGTGATGAAGCTCTCTCTGGATGAGTGTGCGTTATCCTCTCCTCGAGAGATTTACGGGCCTATCCGCTTCTGCTGGATTTGCTCTTTAATCTTTATTTGATGGTGTACCGGGAAAAATATAGCATAAGATGATTGTGGTAACTTTTACAAGAGAAAAGTAACGAAATAACAAGTAACTTTTTTTTTTTCGTTTGTTGATCGATTTAATTCAAAGGGTAAATTGGTCCGTTGTTCATATGCCAGAAAGTGTGTTTAATCCCTATTTTTAAAAATTAATTCGGATCGTCCCTAATGTCGTAAAAAATTGCATGTTTCGTCCCTAGTGTTATAAAAAGACTACTTTACCCTTATATTTTTCTTTTTTCATTTATTTACTATGTATTTCTTATTAACCTATTAAAAATTATATAATAAATTGTTTTGGCCCACCCATTTTAGAATATCAGTTGACCATCTTTTTCGTATATTTAAAACCTACACCAAACCACCGCCCACCACTTATCACCGCCGCTCCACCGGAATACCAGTTGACCATCTTTTTCGTATATATTGACTCGAACAACCCTCTATCTCCACTTACCATCCTCACTTCACTGGAAACAACCAACATGTTAAATGACTTGACACGATCTACACAGTTGATGATGATGATGGTGTAGATCTAAAGCAACATCGTAGATTGAGATGGTGGCATGGATCTGAGACGATAAAGGTTTTCAAGTGAATAGGTGGTGATGACAGCTCTAGGGTTTCACGATCCACACCCTTTACAACTTTCCTCTGAGACACATATGTAAGAATATTGTATGAAGATCTTCTCTGGATGTTATTCTAAAGATCGTGTCAAGGGTTTTGTTAGTCGGGGCACCAAATTCGTTTTTCCGGCGGCAAGGATGTCACCAGATTCAATTTTCCGGCGACAAAGACTCACCGCATCTGTTTCTGTTCATCGGGGTTCCCACCACCACCACCATCATCTTCAATCACCTTCGTCATCAAGGTAGGGATCGCCACCACACCACCATCAGCAGTTTCACTGATGCCTTCTTCTTTCTCCACTTATCTTCTTCTTGTCCCGCTCTCTACGTATCGATGCTAGATTTGATTTCCAAGTAGGATTTATGGGTTTGATTTCGGGTTAGATTGTGGGTTTGGAAATCATAACTATTTGGGTTCCAGGTTAAATCTTCGTTTGATTTTGATTTCTAATTGATTTCCAAATTCTAAAACCATTTGGTACATGTTTCAGATTTGGGAACTGCTTGTGAAACGAAAATTGGGGTAGTCGGAGAAGAGCAGATTGGGAGAGGAGGATAACGGGTTTGTGGGGGTGGGGTGAGGGGTGTTGGGAGAGGAGTCCATTTACTTTTTAAATTTTAAATAAGAATAAAAATTATTAGATTAATTGAAAAATAAATACATAAGGGCATTATGATCATTTTAAATATGGAACGGATTAAAAATGCAACAAATTCTTCTTTAAGGGATGAACCGTGCAAATTTAAAACAAACGAGGGACGGTCCGAGTTGATTTTTGAAAATAAGGACTAAACACGCTTTCTGGCATGTGCACGAGGGACGATTGGTGTAATTTACCCTAATTCAAATCATCCGGTTGCCACGGTTGACTTCGCATTATAATGGGTCGTAAAAAAAAAAAATTGTCCATAATAGGATTTTTAAAAAAACTATTTTCCATGTACTTTTAACCAAAATATTTACCATTTTAGTATTTCTTTTCATTTATTTTTATTTTTAGTTTTTCTTGATATTTTTTTAGTTTAAATATCCGATTTTATCCATTTCTCTTTTATTTCATCTTTTTAATGTTTTTTTAAGCAATAGTTTTTATTTTAGTTTTTTTTACTGTTTTTATAATAACATTTTTTTCTTTTTTTTTTATTTTAAATATTTATTTCTCTTATATAAACCTTTGATCATCAAAATTTAGTCATTATAACTTAAACATACAATATATTTTAAAAAGCAAAAACTTCAACATTACATATACAATGTTTTTAAGATTAAAAAAAAAAAACTCAACATTGTTTGTTAAAAAAAACAACAATTAAAAAAACTCAACAATAATTGTTACATTACACTCAAATTGCCAACGATAAACTAGCTTTTTTTTCTTCTTTATTTTTTTTACATTACATTCATTTTATATTTAATTTTTCTAGAACAAATAAAGATCCACCTCCATTTTAGTAATAATTTTTTAATTATTTTTAAAAATGTATTAAATAGATAAAATTATTACACATTCAAACACTTAACAAAATAAATACAACTTCAAATTAATACATTTCAAATCACAAATAAATTCCTGTCCAACAAAAATATTCAAACTAATATATAAAATATTCAAATTACCATAATGTTATATAAAAGATTACTTAGGTGGTGTTTAATTTTAGGTAAAAAAATATTTTTTTTAACCTTTTATGTCTACTCTTCAGAAGATGTTTATCTTTTTAATTATTTGTAACGCATCCACAACAACTTCTGTCGTCTCAACCAACACCATTGAGTTTTTTTATGAAGACTTTAAAAAACAAATATTTGTTTACGAAGACTAAAGGAATGGAAAAAAAAACCTTCATTCCATATTTTATTTCACAGATATGGAAAAAGATCAAATATATTTACATATTCAATAACAAACATCATCTTATTGTTTGACAGTATGTTGGAGATACACAATTAAATAAACTTTTTCATACACATTATTTTGAATATTTTTTGTTGGGCAATATTATTTGTGATTTTATGTATGAAGTTGTAATATTTTACTAAATCACTTTTGTAATAGTTTTATTTAATTAATATATTTATAATACCTCTTAAAAAATAGAGTTGATGGTATAAAAATATCAAAAAAAAGCAAAAAAAAAATTAAGTATTAAACAAATATGGATCTTTTAGTTCATAAAATAATTAAACATAAAATAATAATGGTGTAAATAATAGAAAAGATTGAAAAATAAATTTGCGTACATAATTACAAGGGAACTAGATTTGTGGGGAAAAACGGAAGTTTACAAGATTTTAGTTAGAAACATATTTATTCTTTTGAATATCTAAAAATTTAATATAAGGGCAATATTGACAACTCATGAATTTTCGGTGGACAAAACAAAAGTCACAATGGAAAAAATCAATCCCCTAATACTAATATGATAAATATTTTTGAAAACACACTAAAATGGTAAATAGTTTTTTTAAAGACAAATATGTTGTGATAATCCGAAACTTCTACCTTGTACCTTAGTCAAATTTTATAAATGTTAAACTCGTTTCAGCTACCTTTTAGCATTGTTTTGAGCCTGTTTGGATGATCTAAAGCCTTGTACAACCAAAGTTTGAATTAGGGATGGGTTGGTTTAAGATTTAGGGTTGCTATTAGGCCAAACACTCCATCAAAAGGAGTGTGAGGCCGCACACATGAGTGTGTGGCCGCACACCCGAGTGTATGGCCGCACACACGAGTGTGTGGTCACACACCCGAGTGTATGGCCGCACACACGAATGTGTGACCGCACACCCATCCTCCAGCCACACACGCATCCCAATTTATATAGGGTCACCCCTTCACTCATTCCTTTCATATGGCTGCACTCTACTTTCTCTCTCTCTACTTTCTCCCTCTAAGAACTTCATCCAAGAACACTCTAAGGGCCTAAAAAATGTGAAGAATTCCATCATTTAGCTTGTTATACAGGTAAAACACCTAAATATAAGCCTGAAACTCTTCATGTTCTTCGCGTTCTTCATCACTTGAAGGTATACGGCCGTACACCTTCATAAGGTGGCCATACACACCTCAAAAACCCTCCAAAGTGAGCGTTTTGGCTCTCTATCTCTTAGTTGGACTTGGTTTGAACCTTGAAACACTTAAAAATCGACATTTGGAGCATAAAACGAAGAGTGTACGGTCGCACACTCCTGTGTGCAACCGCACACACAGCCTGGCCGCACACTCTCCTGTGTGCAACCGCACACACAGCCTGGCCGCACACTCCTGTGTGCAACCACACACACACAGCCTGACCGCACACCCACCCTAATGACCATACACCTCCTTTGTTGATCACATAAGGTCCCGACAAGCATTTTCAAGTCTTTAGGGTGGTTTCCTGACATGTTTTGTCATGGAATACCTAAATCTAATACATATATGTGCTATTATATGTTACTAGGATCCAATTGAGTGAGAAACCTCAAATGACACTCAACACTCGTAACCGATCATCCGCTCGAATCATCCCTCAAACAGTGAGTTCATACCCTTACATTTTCCATGTTTTTAATGTTTTCAGGGGGGATACAAGCCAAACTCAAAGTATTTTATTAAGTTTTAAACTTATGCAATGATTTCCACGTTTAATAACATATTCGGATATTTGATCCCTTTTGTAATATGTTGAGCATAGGGGAAACTTCTATTTTGGAAATCTAACTTCATAGTTTTCAGAAAGGTTTTTACAAAGCATTCTCCATATCAACTCTAATAAACTATAATAGGTATAGTTTGGGATAATCCTCTAGGCAGTCTCTACCTAATCAGATTTCATAAATGAATATATATAATCTATGTCAGATTTAGTTTATGTTATATGTTTTCTCAGAAGTATAAGGTACATTTATTCAAGGATAATTACTGTTTATACTGATTTCCCGCATTATACAAAATTGTGAGGCGCTACTTCAATATTGTACCCTTAGGTGTATAGTGATAAATCCTTTTAGTATAACCAGAGTCTCCTGGAGGGAGAGCGTGAGATTTGTGAATAGATCTATTCGGGATTGACAATCCCACACCAGAACTACTAGCTACAGTGAGGCGGGCACGCCTGTGGTGAACAAATGTCATTTAGCTTAACGCCCGATCATATCAAGTATGGTTATACGACTCGCAAATAAGTATAAACTAACTATGTTTATGAATTCTCTTCTTCATTTGTTTTATTTTAAGTAATAAAACTACTTTTATATATGTTGTTAGAAATCAAGGACTTCTAAACTGGCATCTCTACCTCTAGGACGGATAACATGTTTTTCTAAAACTGATGGTTTATTTT